TGTAAAGGGGTTTAGGGACTATAGTGTACATTTGGAATTGTATTCAGAATCAAATCCTACAAGGACGTTGTAACTACCCAAATGCAACTAAAATGACATCAATTGTTTATGTAATACAGTAGTAAATGGTTCTTATGTGGTTTCTTCATTGCCACAATTATTCAACCCCTTAAAGACTACCACTCTGAAGAACAGAGGTTCATACAGGTGCTTTCCATCAGGTATTGAAAACACCTGTGGATGTCACCGAGCAGCAATCAAGCATAATAAGCACCAATTAGGCAGCTTTAAAATGACTGTGATACTCAGCTCCTTCTAGACATTTACTGGTGTGGTTACAAACATGGTGAAGGCAAGAGAATGGTCCAGGAAGACAAGAGAAGAGGTGATTTCTCTTCACACAGGAAGGGCAATGGCTATAAGAAGATTGCAAAGATGTTAAACATACCAAGAGACACCTTAGGAAGCATCATTCGCAAATTCAAGGCAAAGGGCACTGTTGAAACGCTACCTGGTCGTGGCAGAAAGAAGATGCTGACTTCGACTGCTGTGCGCTACCTGAAGCGTAGAGTGGAGAGAAGTCCCCGTGTGACTGCTGAGGAACTGAGAAAAGATTTGTCAGATGTGGGTACAGAAGTTTCAGCCCAGACAATAAGACGCACACTGCGTAATGAAGGCCTCCGTGCCAGAACTCCCAGGCGTACCCCCTTGCTGTCTCCAAAGAATAAGAAGAGTCGACTGCAGTATGCCAAAAGCCATGTGGACAAACCACAAAAGTTGTGGGATAGTGTTCTGTGGACTGATGAAACAAAATTAGAACTGTTTGGGCCCATGGATCAACGCTATGTTTGGAGGAGAAGAACAAGGCCTATGATGAAAAGAACACCTTGCCTACTGTGAAGCATGGTGGAGGGTCAATCATGCTTTGGGGCTGTTTTGCTTCTGCAGGTACAGGGAAGCTTCAGCGTGTGCAAGGTACCATGAATTCTCTTCAGTACCAGGAGATATTGGATGGAAACGTGATGCAGTCCGTCACACACCTGAGGCTTGGGAGACGTTGGACCTTTCAACAGGACAATGATCCCAAGCATACCTCCAAGTCCACTAGAGCATGGTTGCAGAGGAAAGGCTGGAACATTTTGGAGTGGCCATCGCAGTCACCAGACTTAAATCCGATTGAGAACCTCTGGTGGGACTTAAAGAAAGCAGTTGCAGTGCGCAAGCCTAAGAATGTGACTGAACTGGAGGCCTTTGCCCATGAAGAATGGGCGAAGATACCCGTAGATCGCTGCAAGACACTTGTGTCAAGCTATGCTTCACGTTTAAAAGCTGTTATAACTGTAAAAGGATGCTGTACTAAGTACTAAGATTGAATGTCACTTGGGGGTTGAATAAAACTGATAATGCTGTGAGCACAGAAAAGACATTTGTGGTTATTTCATTATAACTGTTATGTTATATTTGTCTGACCTACAAGTGCCTCTTTAATGTAAATGTAAGCAAGATGACTGAATGATCAAAAGCAATGTCAAACTGGGCCAAAACACTCAATTTCAGTGGGGGTTGAATAATTTTGGCCACAACTGTATATATACACATACACACACATATATATATATATATATATGTATGTGTGTGTGTATGTATGTATATATATATATATATTTGTATATATATATATATATATATATATATATATATATACACATATATATCCACCCTGCAACATGTATTAGTAGTGGATATTTGAAATAATACAATTTTGGCTGTATTTAATATATTTAAAAAAAATGTATATATATATATTTATTTATTTTTTTTCTTTTTTAATATATATTGAATACGACCAAAATTGTATTATTTTCAAATATCCATTACTAATGCATGTTGCAGGGTGGATGTACCGCCCTGTGTTCATTCTCTGCCTGCCTTGCTCCGCTGCACCCAGGGCAGCCGACCCTCCTGCCCACCCCTTGTCCCGGCACTGCTGGAAAAACATAAGCTGGGATCCTCCACCAGCCGGCATGCGCACTCACCTCCAGCAAAGAGATTGGATGACACTTTATAATCAAACTCCAATGCTGTCCACTCTGCTTGGCCCACGGTTAGGTTGATCCAATCAATCCTCCGGTAATCTCAGATATCGGGCTCAAAAAAAAGACAAAACAAGGGCCTCCATAATGCAGCCGTTTATTCAAAAGGTTAAAAGGATGCAATAAAAAAAAACACTCAGAAATTTCTGAGAGTCATCAGACTCAATAATGCCTTAAAGGTGCACCAATATGGCCGACCCTAGTCCACACAGAAAATGGCATCATTGCGTTCCGACGCGTTGCATCACATGACACGTGACTTCATCGGCATCCGCAAACTATGATGTACAGTTAGATGGGTTAATTCGGTTTGTTTGCAGGCTGGCTGGCAAGTTAGAGCCGGGAACCTTTCTGTTTGTTGTTTGACGTGCGTCGCCCGTCCATGTGTTCCTTGCTGGGAAGGCCAGGTATAGACTGGGGCTGTGGCCAATTTTTGTATGATGTATATATACTTGAATGGGCAGCACAGTGGCTAAATGGTTTGCACTTCCGCCTGGCAGTACTAAGGTCGTTGGGTCGAATCCCAACCACGGCATCACCTGCTTGGAGTTTGCATGTTCTCCCTGTGCCTGCGTGGGTTTCCTCTGGGTACTCTGGTTTCCTTCCACACTCCAAAGACATGCTGGTAGGTGAATTGGCTCCTGTCTAAATAGGTCCTAGTATGTGTATGTATGAATGTGAGTTAGGGACCTTAGATTGTGCACCCCTTGAGGGTGAAGGACTGATGTGAATGTACAATATATATTTAAAGCGCTGCGTAAATTGATGCCTGCGTGGGTTTCCTCCGGGTACTCCGGCTTCCTGCCACATGCTAAAGACATGAATGGGCAGCACAGTGGCTAAATGGTTAGCACTTCCCCCTGGCAGTATTCGGGTCGTTGGTTCAAATCCCAACCACAGTACCACCTGCCTGGAGTTTGCATGTTCTCCCTGTGCCTGTGTGGGTTTCCTCTGGGTACTCCAGTTTCCTCTCACACTCCAAAGACATGCTGGTAGGTTAATTGGCTCCTGTCTAAATAGTCCCTAGTATGTGTATGTATGAATGTGAGTTAGGGACCTTAAATTGTATGCCCCTTGAGGGTTAGGGACTGATGTGAATGTACAATATATATGTAAAGCGCGGCGTAATTGACAGTGATATATAAGTACCTGAAATAAATAATGCAGCAGCTATGATGCTGTACTGGTAATGGTAGTGATCAGCGACTTATAGTGTGACTGTGATAGTGTGGTGGGCAATCTGGCACGAACTGACTGACATTAAAAGCAACACTAATACAGAGATCAGTAATGATACTAGTAATAATAGTACACTGTGGCTGTACTAATGACACTGGCTGGGAAGGGGTTAACATCTAGGGGGCAATTGAAGGGTTTACTGTGTAACGTGTTGCTTTTACTAATCGATGTGGATGTTTTTTCTCCCTGCTTTGCAGGGAGACAAAAAAAAAACAGCCGCGTCCGTCACTGCTCTCTGTACAGGGCCCTGTGTTGTTAGTAAATACAGGACTCTCTGCTGTGATTTACGCAGGTCTATAAATCATTGACCGGGACCTGCTGATCATCTGAGCAAATCACAGCAGAGAGCCCTGTGTTTACTAACAACACAGGGCTCTGTGCAGAGAGCGGTGATGTGGATCTGCTGACTGACTTGTGCTGTAATGATTCACAGCAGGGCAGGGGGTGCGCGTTCACGCGCTCTATATCTGGAAATGCCTGATCACGTACGTGTATATGATCCAGCACAGAAGGGCCGCCCACCGGTAGTAAATATGTGAGAATGTGGAATAGACTCCCTCCAGAGTTGGTTGTTGCCAGCTCAGTGGATTGCTGTAGGAAAGTCCTGGATTCTTTCTTGGATACACAGAATATAACTGGATATAACATTTATAGGTAACGTTGATCCAGGGAATATCCGATTGCCTCTCGGGGGATCAGGAAGGAATTGTTTCCCTCCAGGAGGAGATTGGATCGTGCACACGGGATAACATGCCGGGGATGGACACACAGGAGAAACATGCCAGGGATGGACACATAGGAGAACATGCCGGGGATGGACACACAGGAGAACATGCCGGGGATGGACACATAGGAGAACATGCTGGGGATGGACACGTAGGAGAACATGCCGGGGATGGACACGTAGGATAACATGCTGGGGATGGACACACAGGATAACATGCCAGGGATGGACACACAGGATAACACGCCGGGGATGGACACACAGGATAACACGCCGGGATGGACACACAGGATAACATGCGGGGATGGACACATAGGATAACACGCCGGGGATGGACACACAGGATAACACGCCGGGGATGGACACATAGGATAACACGCCGGGGATGGACACATAGGATAACACGCCGGGGATGGACACATAGGAGAACACGCCGGGGATGGACACATAGGATAACATGTTGGGGATGGACACATAGGATAACATGCCGGGGATGGACACACAGGATAACATGCCGGGGATGGACACATAGGATAACATGTTGGGGATGGACACATAGGATAACATGTAGGGGATGGACACATAGGATAACATGCCAGGGATGGACACATAGGATAACATGTTGGGGATGGACACATAGGATAACATGCCGGGGATGGACACATAGGATAACATGTTGGGGATGGACACATAGGATAACATGCCGGGGATGGACACATAGGATAACATGTTGGGGATGGACACATAGGATAACATGCCGGGGATGGACACATAGGATAACATGTTGGGGATGGACACATAGGATAACATGCCGGGGATGGACACATAGGATAACATGCCGGGGCTGGACACGTAGGATAACATGCCGGGGATGGACACACAGGATAACATGTTGGGGATGGACACATAGGATAACATGTTGGGGATGGACACATAGGATAACATGCCGGGGATGGACACGTAGGATAACATGCCGGGGCTGGACACGTAGGATAACATGCCGGGGATGGACACACAGGATAACATGCCGGGGATGGACACATAGGATAACATGTTGGGGATGGACACGTAGGAGAACATGCCGGGGATGGACACACAGGATAACATGCCGGGGATGGACACATAGGATAACATGTTGGGGATGGACACATAGGATAACATGTTGGGGATGGACACATAGGATAACATGCCGGGGATGGACACATAGGATAACATGTTGGGGATGGACACATAGGATAACATGCCGGGGATGGACACATAGGATAACATGTTGGGGATGGACACATAGGATAACATGCCGGGGATGGACACATAGGAGAACATGCCGGGGATGGACACATAGGAGAACATGCGGGGGGGATGGACACATAGGATAACATGCCGGGGATGGACACGTAGGATAACATGCCGGGGATGGACACGTAGGATAACATGCCGGGGATGGACACACAGGATAACATGCCGGGGGGATGGACACATAGGATAACATGTTGGGGATGGACACGTAGGAGAACATGCCGGGGATGGACACATAGGATAACATGTTGGGGATGGACACATAGGATAACATGTTGGGGATGGACACGTAGGAGAACATGCCGGGGGATGGACACATAGGATAACATGTTGGGGATGGACACATAGGATAACATGTTGGGGATGGACACACAGGATAACATGCCGGGGATGGACACATAGGATAACATGTTGGGGATGGACACATAGGATAACATGCCGGGGGGATGGGGACACATAGGATAACATGTTGGGGATGGACACATAGGATAACATGCCGGGGATGGACACATAGGAGAACATGCCGGGGATGGACACATAGGAGAACATGCCGGGGATGGACACGTAGGAGAACATGCCTGGGGATGGACACATAGGAGAACATGCCGGGGATGGACACATAGGAGAACATGCTGGGGGGGTTTACTGGCTGTAGAAAAAAACATCAAAAGCCAAAAACAGCCGCTGTAAACACATCCCCTAAGTGAGGACTTATGCAGGCCATAGACAGGTCGAACATCGGCCGATTTTTTCGAACGATAAAAGAAAAATCGGTCGTTCGTTAAGCCAACGTTACCACCAACGATTCCAAAAATCGACTGACTTAATCATAAAGATCACCCCATATCAGAGCCAAACTTCTGTTCCTTGCAGGTCACGGCTCTTTAGCAAATTTTTTTTCGTTAAAATGCTCGTCCGATTTGGCCATCATTGCTGGGAAAATCGGCCGTTTTTCCAAATTGGCCGTGAATTTTCCAACATGACCGCTAATTTGAAAGTGCAAAACACCCAAAAAAACCGACCGATCAATTAACCCACTAATGCCGGCCATAGACAGGTCGAAAATCGGCCAATTTCGCACAGTTAGTGGTTTGATTGGTCGGCCATTTTTTCGGGCTTTTTGCACATTTTTTTTTATCGGTCAAGTTGGAAAATTTGCGGTTGATTTTGACAATCGGCCGATTTTCCCGGCAATGATGAGCAAATCCGCCGATCGTTTTACCGATAAAAAATCTGCGCATGAGCCGTGACCTGCAAGAAGAAGAAGAAGAATTCCAGTCCGCTATTATATTTTATATGAAAAGTCTTGCGGATGCAACAAATGTATCTATTTGTATCCGAATAAAAACTTCTGTATCCGAAATGGATACAAATAGATACATTGTTGCAACCGCAAGACTTTTTCATGTCAAATATAACCACTTGCCCTCCTGAGGATTTACCCCCCTTAATGACCACGCCTCTTTTTGCTACTCGGCGCTGCACTAATTCAACTGATAATTGCGCGGTCATGCAATGCTGCACCCAAATGAAATTTACGTCCTTTTTTCACACAAATAGAGCTTTCTTTCGGTGGTATTTGATCACCTGTGCGCTTTTTTATTTTTCACGCTATAAACAAAAAAAGACCAAAAATTTTGAAGAAAAACAATATTTTTTACTTTCAGCTATAAAAAATATATAGTAAACTCAAAGTTGGTTATAAATTTAGGCCAAAATGTATTCTGCTCCATGTTTTTGGTAAAAAAAAAATCCCAATAAGTGTATATTGATTGCTTTGTGTGGAAGTTATAGCGTCTACAAACTATGGTATAAATACTGCAATTTACGCCATTTTTATAGCGCTGCGCTAGTTTAATGGACAATTGCGCGGTCATGCAATACGGTACATAAATTAAATTTACATCCTTTTTTTTCCACAAATTGAGCTTTCTTTCAGTGGTATTTGATCGCCTGTGCGGTTTTTATTTTTTGTGCTATAAAAAAAAAGGCTGACAATTTTGAGGAAAAAAACAATATTTTGGACTTTTTGCTATAAAACATGTCAAGTAAAAACAAATTTAAAAATCAAATTTAGTCATAAATTTCTGCCAAAATGCATTCTGCGACATGTCTTTGCTAAAAAAAACCCAATACATGTAAATTAATTGGTTTACGTGAAAGTTATAGCGTTTACAAATGGCGGGAAAGATACTGGGATTTTTAGTTTTTTTTATACTAATAATGGCGACAATCAGCGACTTATGGCGGCGATCAGCGACTTATGGCGGGACTGCGGCGGACATTTTGACATTGGGGGGGAACTGACTTGGGGTCACTGACATCCCCAGTGACACCAATACAGTGATCAGTGCAAAAAAAAAAACACTGACACTGTACTAATGGCACTGGGGAGGAAAGGGGTTAAGTTTATTATTCAGGGAAAGGGTTATCTGTGTGAGGGGAGTGTTTTACTAGGGGGCGGAGGGTGTGTATTGCAGGGAACACCGCTGATCGGGAGAGATAAACGCTTCTCTCCCAATCAGCGTGTCAGGAGCTGTCAGGGAACTGACAGAAAGCACAGCTACTGCAGCTGTGCTCTCTGTCACTGATTGCCGCTAATCGCCGGGACATAGCCGGTAACGACCGGCTGTGACCCGGCGACTGACATCCGTGGCTGTGATCGGCGGGACAGGTAGGGCGGTGGTGCGCCTCGTGCGCGCCCCCTACCTGTTTTCAAAACACACGTTTTAAAACGTGCTTTTGCCCAGCAGTGCCGCCCTGCCGCCGTATTTATACAGTGGCTGGGCGCAATGTGGTTATAATAGCAGACTGGAATTCTTCTTCTTTTTCTTATTATTTTCTTATTATTTTTATGTATTGCTCCCCTG